CATGTCGTCAGGGACAACAGGGGCCAGGGTGGGAGGAGGAAACAGAAGAAAGCGTCAGTGGGCACTTGCTCGACTGGACGAGGGACAAAGGGGACCAATGACTTAGGCCAGACCTCGAGCTGGAGTGGGGCTTTCATGGGTGTTGCCTCGACCAGTTGGGGGACTTGAACGATCATGGCGAACCCTCCTGTTTGTGACTTCCAACCCACGTTGGCAAGGTAGGATGGGCATCCGGCGTTTCCTAGCGACTTGTAAGCTGCCTTGGTGCCACGGGTGCCTGGCTGAGCGCCCGAATACTGTGTCAGGACTGGTTCGACAGTCCTTGATTTCCCAGCGGCCAGAATGTGCCAAAGGCTCGCGAGACAGTACATGGCAGGTAGATCCAAGCATCCCAACTTCAACCATGAGCCGATTAAGCGTGAGCTCGTTGCAGGAAACGATGCTACCGTACCTTGAGCTGCCTTCAAGGGGCCTGCGCTGAGTCAGTGACTGTAGCTGTTTCCCACCCACACAGAGCTATCGAAGTAGTGGCTGAGAGCACCTGGCCGACCGGATGTCGCGAAGTGCCTTGGCCGCCATGAAAACAGATGGCCCCAGCGGTGGCTACGTATAGCGCGGATATGCGCTGAAAAGGTGATGCAGTGATGTCGCTGGAACTGAGTGAGGAATGGCCTGCCAGACGATAGCTGGGGCATGTCCCAAGTTGCTTGACTCGACTGAGCGTCGGATGGGCAAAGTCCCGGTCGAGGGAGGGGGGGTATCTGGGGGTGTCTGTCAGAAGCATTGCCAGAAGGGGAATCGGTCAATCGGGAGGGACAGTTGACGATGATTGGGTGCCGGGTTCTGGAGAGTACCTAGCTGGAGCTGATGGAGCCAGAGCTCTGGGGGTAGCTGGGAACTCGAGCTTCCCTTGCTCGTCAATGCTATCCCATTCCTTCCATGTCGACAACCTGAACAAATGCATTATTGACCCGGGGGTGAGATCAAGCAACACTCCTCAGAGCTTTGCGAAGACTCAGTGAAGTATGAAGACCTCAAGTATTGTCAGGGCCCATGATAAACCACCTCTCGACTGATGTATTGGAACTTGGCTGATTTGAGTTCGATGGAACAATCGGATGTACATGTATGTACTACTTACCTCGGAGCAGGTGCAAGGTCGACAGATTTGATCCAAGCTCGTCCCCCTAACCGAAAAAAAAAAAAAAAAAACCTTTTCAGGTACTATTCACATGGACGATCAGCGCAACTAAAGGTGCCAGCTTTTCTGTCATCGGCGAGCCAAGCAGCGAGATCTGAGAAGCTGCACGCACTTTGGCACCTTACATGGCTCTTACCTTAAGCTGGAGCAATTGAGGGGTGGATCCTTCCTCGACAGTGGGTTTGTGGGGTCAAGGGTTCCCGCGAACGATGTCATGGCAAAAGCGGCAGTCCCAATCCAGGCGAGTCCACTTTCTCCTCCGTCGTCCACTCAGCGATCCTCGTCCCTTGCAAACACAGAGATTACCACCTAGCGTCCCGCTCCCGAACTGACAGGAAGCTATCAGCGAGCCGTTTTTGCGATATGGCAGCTCAGTTTTCGCTTCAGGTTGGGAAGCAGTTGCTCTTCCGAAAGTTGACAAAAATGATAGAACCAGAACTAGGTACGTTTTTCTTTGTCTTTCTGGGTTTGAGTCCAGCTTTCTCCTCCTTCGGTTTGCTACGATCCGCTCGCTCGTCCTCCATTTCGACATCCGATTCTAGAATGTTTCGTTCTGCCGCCGAGGTGGAGTACCGTGATGGAAACCTAGGACATGGGCAGCAGCCAGAGAGAGGTTTGGAAGCACATCACCAGAACCAGGGAAAGTTGCGTCTCTCAGATGAGACCTTCCACGGCACCAGCTGGCCCAGGCTTTTCTTCATTTCCAGACAACCTCGTTTTCCAGACAAGTAGGCATCCCTAACGAAGGCAGTGAAAAGTGCTGTGACGACCACCGATAGTTCCTCTCTCAGTCTGCATAAGGTGGAGGTGTGGTACTCCCATCTACATTTCGACAAATCTAGGCCTAAAGGGCTCAACGTACAATGTCAAGCTTCAAGAGAGCCAACTTCGCGTGTGCCGTTGTACACTCTTATTTGCCTATCTACAGTGGGTACCTAATTTATACAGTTTCGTACTGTATGTGTCAGAGACACAACCTGATCACGGAAGGCTTATGACAAGCCAGTTCTAGGCACATGACTTGAGATCTATGACACACCCCGCTCCAGCATACCTCTCGCATGACGAGTACAGGAACATATATCCCGGCTGTTACAACCTGTCACAACCTGACTCAATATAACAAAAGGCGCGCGGGTTCGCTACCTAGGCAATCCTGCTTCTCGACAACGAAAGGACATGTACCTTACAAATGTGTCTGTTCGCGTATCGTTTGAAGGGATGATACATATACGCGGCGGGACTTCCGAAACAATTTGACAAAATGACACGAAACTCGAGCTTCAAAAGCTAAGGTCAGCTAGTGTACATTATCTGCCTACACGTGCACATAGTATCTGTCGTCGAACACTTCCCTTGGATCTTGGATAGCGACAACCTCCATTCTCGATCGAATACCTGGGGGCTTCTGCGCGCCAAGCTTTCTTTCCCCCCAGACATTCTGATAATGTAGGTACACTAGTGGGTGATGAACATCTGGCAAAGTTCTTTATTATAGGGCACATCAGAAATCCCATCATAAACTATAGTAAATTACTAGTAAGCAAGATAGTAGAACGCAAGGTTACTACACAGTACATTTCAAACTTCCACTAAAATTTAAATGTTGATTTAGGACACCAAGAAAATTATTTCAGGAAACTTAACATGAGCACAGTCGCATCCATTGCCAGCTGTCCAGATTTCCGCGTCAAAACCCGCTATCAACCCACCACAGCATGTACGCTACAGCACGGCCATGTGCGTATCCATAGAGGGAACCCTGGGTCTGAGAACAGGGTCAAAACAGGCGCATGGCAGCCAACAGGCAAAAATGCACCAAAAAGAGCCCAAACATGGTCAAAACAGAATTTTTTAATAAAATTCTAAAAGGTAAAGAATTTCTATTTTATATAAATGTATATAGCTTGATAATATTCTTTTTTAACTATAAAAGAATTTTTTTCTTTAATATAATTTTTAAGGTAAAAAGGATGTTGCCTTTAGTTAGAAATTTTTACTCTAATATAAATTATTTTCCCAAAAAAAAATTTTTTCCAATATTATTTTTAGGGAAAAAAAATGTTTAAGATTTTTTTTTTTCTCTTCGATTCCTTCCTTAATTAATCTTCGTACCTTCTATTAACTATATTAGATTCTACTTTGGAAATTTTTTTTTTATAAAATAAAGGGTAGTTAGCATAGGTAGTAAAATAAGCACTTCATATTTCCAAGGTTCCCTGTTCGATTCCCAACTGTGACATTTGTAAAAAAAAAAAAAAAAAAAAAAAA